GCAATCTCGACAGAGGAGGTCAAAGGCGACTCTCCTAGACCAATTCGAATCATTTCCAGCAATTTTAATTTTTTTCATTTTTTGCCAAATTTACAATAGCCTTTGTGTTTTTAGCGAAAATTGATGGGTCCGGATTTCGACGGAAAAGTAGTCGATTCGACAGCGGTGACGCAGGGGACCGCAAAACTACTTTTGATTCGTTCAGAAACCATCCCTGTCAAGAGAAACTTGAGTTTTAAGGGTGGTCTTATGAATCTGGCGGGCGAGCCGTGAGCAGGTCCTAGAAAAACAGGCGTAACTCACTTAAAAAGGCCCGGCGGCGTAAAATTTCGACGGAGAGATTGAAAGAGGATGCTGTCGGGAAAATCCCGACCATTTCCAGCAATTTTCATCTTTATAAATTTTTGGCCAAAATTACAAAGGGCATAGCCTTTGTGTTTTTAGCGAAAACTGATGGGTCCGGATTTCGACGGAGAAGTAGTCAAATCGACAGAGGTGACCCAGGGGACCACAAAACTACCCTTGGTTCTGTTAGAAACCACCCCCTTCCAGAGAAACTTGAGTTTTAAGGGAGGTCTTTTGAATCTGGCGGTCAGCCTACGATGGGCTGCCTACCTCGCAGGCGAACCGGTCCAAAAACATGCGTATCTCAATTAAAATGGCTCAGCGGCGTGAAACTTCGACGCAGAGATTGAAAGAGGATTCAGTCAGACCAATCCCAACTATTTCCAGCGATTTTAATTTTTGTCATTTTTGGCCAAATTTACCAACGCAAATTAGCCTTTATTCTTTTAGTAAAAATTGATGGGTCCGGATTTAGACGGAAAAGTAGTCGAATCGACAGGGGTGACCCAGGGAACCACAAAACTACTTTTGGTTTCGCCAGAAACCACCCCTGTCCAGACACACTTAAGTTTTAAGAGGAGGTCTTTTGAATCTGGCGGGTAGCGTACGATGGGCTGCCTACCTCGCAGGCGAACCGGTCCAAGAAAAACAGGCGCAACTCACTTGAAATGGACCGGAGGCGCGAAATTTCGACATTTCGACATTTCCGGCGATTTTTAATTATTTTCATTTTTGGCAAAATTTACAAAGGTATGGGTCTGGTTTTTGACGGAGGAGTACATGAATAGATAGGGGTGAACCAGGGACCACAAAATTACCTTTGCTTCTGTCGGAAACCACCCCTGTCCACAGCAACTTGAGTTTTATAAGAGCTGGTCTCTCTAACTAAGGGCGGGTAGGCTACCTAAGGCACACTGGCTAAGATCTCTGCTGTAGTGGGTCGGCACCATGATATTTAGACAGAGCATGTGAAAAGGGAGTCTGCCCCACCAATCCAAACCAATTCCAGCAATTTCCCAAATTGGCAAGATTTTTAAAAGACATTTTCAGTGATAACAAATCAGCCTGGATTTTGACAGAAGAGGGTTCAAATCGACAACAAAGAACCAAGGCAAGGCACCACAAAAAACATCAAATACCACCCTTTGATGCACACGAAAGGAAGCTCCTCATAGTGTCTGTACAGAGACAAATTGGACCAGTGTTGGCCGTTACTGTCATGTCAACTCACCTATTCTTTTGGGTAAAATGACTCCATAGAGTTCTCTTGCTCATGTCAAGAACATTTCTGGGCAGAGTTCCTGCAATCATATTAAACAGTACTTTTAGCGCTCATCAACTTTTAATTACATATAATTAACTCATACAGAACACTTTTAAATGCCTCTCCCCCCATGCGTCTCTAAATGACTATGGTCTTTCAAATAACTAATTTTGGTACTGGATTAAACGTTAAGTACGAAGGGGCAGCTGCAGATTATCTGCAACGCACATTATTGATTGATTGTTTAGGGGATTACGCAAATAGTACCACTCGGTTTGCACCCCTATCAGAAAGTAATAAAGATTTCTGTTCCACGAGAATAAAATAGAGTAAAATATATGATATGTGATAAAACACTGGCAGGTTCGCCCATTTGCATAAGGACCTACAACAGCATTTAACATACTGCATGGATTGGAGGAGTCTAACATCATTCAACACCTTTTCAACAAAGCTGACAGTGAGCCAAGTTATTTACATCACGGGCATCATTTACTCGGCCTCAAAAAATAACTTACAACTTAATTGTGCGTGTCAAAATTGAGCCACAGGAGCATAACCTCCTACAACAATAACCGGAATGGAACAATTCAATATTCCGGACCGGAAACAAGCAAGCACTATACCTTGCGATTAATAACGAAAAGCGGCGATGTCTTCTCTACAATTCTGGTTAAAATCCTATGATCATTAATTATATGAGTAGTTATTATCGGTATTTGCCAGAAACGCCGATCGCGTGACACCGAGTTTCACTGTTTGTTTACGTTTCCATAAAGGCGCGGGAAATGCGCGGTGGGGGTGGGGAGGAGGAGAGGGGTAGGGGACGCGGCACGGCAAAGGGGGAGAGCAATAATTACGGCATACTCACCGACATATCGTGGTCGCGGAATGTGATTCTTTCCTGGGGTAGGCAATCCCGCCTCACTTGTCCAGGATGTGATCCTTTGGGGATGCTTCCCGTCCCGTGCATCGTTGTGTGGCTCCAGGCGGCAACGCCAGGGAAGTGCCATGTGACAATAATAGTGAATTGATCTGGATAATAAACTATTATGGGCGATTTGCTATTAATAATAATTATATTTGGTGACTTTTAAGAAATATGCACCAGCCGGGGTACACGACGTTTTGAGCCGAATCGTATTTGTCGTGGGAGTGTCATCGGCGTGCTCGGGAGGTCCCAAATGACGTCCCCGGGGGCCCGACCCGGACGACATCGGCACTACCAGATTTGGACTCAGCGTGCGAGAAAACCCCTGAACACGATGTTTCAGTCATCCTGGTCGTTCCGAGGTTGACGGTCGGTCGGTCGGCCAAACCGCATCTTATTTTGACAGACCCCCTGCAATCGACCGCTGCGTCCTGCTTGCGGACCCCGCTCTCGCCCACAATCGATCGCCCCCCGTTACTGACAGATGCCCTGGGCTTACAAGTTGTTCTGTATGAGGGGTAAATTCCCCCATTTTACTGGGGGGAGGGAGATTAGGAGATGGACGTGAGCATTTGCGGTGCCGAGCGGACTTTTGTCTTTTTGTCGAAAAATTAGGGAGGTTCGGCGCCTGCGAGACTCCGGGTAGGCCATCCCGCAATACACGCAAGCTCTACAAGCAAGATGTTGCCTACCTATCAGGCGCTATGAGACGCTGAACTTGGCAATTTCGCCCCCCCCCCCCATACCGCGCCTGGCACTTAGGAAAGTGACCCACCCATCGCAGATCCGAGAGCCGTGGCACACTACAGCCGATCCACAG